GATGCTATAGGACTATATTAACTTCAATACCGAAACCACATAAAGATAAGGCAAGATCAATTTTATCTATGAATAGAGTTTTTAAAATTTAAGTTAAATATAGAGATCAAATCCATCATTATATAAAGATCAAATTTGTGTTATCCCAGGAATGTAAGATTTTCTAACATCAGGAAATTTTCCAGTGAAAGTCACCATAATATTCAAGACTAGAGGGAGGGAATAAGTATTTAACCATCTTTAAAGAAATACAGAAAAAAGTATTTGCTGAAATAAAACATGACTTTATAATTTACAAAAATATTAACACACTAAGGCAATTTCTCTAACTAGTAAAGTTCAACCACCAAATTTTTTTGGTAAACATCATACCTCTTAATAAAACTTAAGAATTATTTATATTAAAGGTAGTAAGAGGATAAGAATGACTATTTTGACTGCTGCTATTCAATATTTTTGTGGCAATCCAAGTCAATGAAAGAATAAAAGATAAATAAATCAGTGGAATAAAGATTGGAAAGTAATAGATAACTATGATTATTAGAAAATAAAAATTCCTACATAGAAATTTCTTCATAATACACACACATAGTAGGAATTCTGGACTCAAGAAAAGCATACACGGGACTTCCCCTGCTGGTGCAGTGGCTAAGAATCTGCCTTGCAATGCAGGGGATGTGGGTTCGATCCCTGGCTGAGGAACTAAGACCCTGCACACCGCAGAGCAACTAAGCCTGCTCGCCAAACTAGAGAGTCCATGAAGGTGAGAGTGAGTCGCTCAGTCGTGTCGGGCTCTTTGCGACCCCATGGACTACACAGTCCATGGGATTCTCCAGGCCAGAGTACTGGAGTGGGTAACCTTGCCCTTCTCCAGGGGATCTTCCCAACCCGGGGATCAAACCCAAGTCTCCCGCACTGCAGGCGGATTCTTCACCAGCTGAGCCACCACGGAAGTCCATGAGCCACAACAAAAGACCCCGTGTGCCTCAACTAAGACCTGAGGTAGCCAAATCAATAAGTAAGTACATACATACATTAAAAAAAGGAAAAGCATGCAAAAAATAATAGTTCTAGAATCCAGCAAATATATCATTTAGGGAATGTCATTTGTAAAAGTATCATTCATGGTAGCTGCAAAATCTAGCTAAAAATATTATGCAGCTGTTTAACATACTTATGTAAAATATTACAAAGAATATACAAATACCAAAATAATGAAAATAAATTTATGTATAGTTCATGGATGAGAAGATTCATTATCACAAAGATGTCAAATTTTCCCATATTAAACCATAAAATCAAAGCTATTTCAATTAAAATCCAAATTTTTTTATGGAACTTGGCAATCTGATACAAAGATTCAAACTGAAAGGTTAAAAAAAAAAGGATTGGTGACATAATTTTTAAAAGAAACTGTAAAGAGAGAGAATGTGCCAGGCAACAAATTTGTTGAAAAGTTAACCTCATTGAAACAATGTGATATTATTCAGAAAGAGGTAAATAGACCAGTGGAGCAGAAGAGAAAGAACTGAAATAGATCCAAGCTAATGTAGAAATTTGATTTTTAGCAGAAGTGGAATTTACAAACTAGTGGGGAAAGGTAAATGGTTCAACAAAGGGTGCTGAGGCAATGGTGTATCTATCGATATACATATATACAAGCATATGTGAGTCTGTATGTATATATGATACACAGAAAGATACAGACTTATATATATATATCTGTGTACATATAAGAATATTTACATAGATATTCTGCATATATTTATATATATATATTTAGAAAATGCAATCCAGGAACTGTAAAATTATAAAGGTAAAAATATTAAAAGGTTTAGAGATCGATACCTTAAATGCAATACCAAGAGCATACACCACCAAAAGAGAAGGATGATAAATGTGATTACATTAGAACTTTAGATGGTATCTGTGTGTCAAAGACACCACTAACAAATTTTTAAAATAAGTCATAATGTAAGAGCATACTTTCCAACATATTAGTATCAAGAATATACAAAATAGCCCCCAACATGCAAAATGCTAGGCTGGATGAATCACAAGCTGGAATCAAGATTGCGGGGAGAAATGTCAACAACCTCAGATATGCAGATGACACCTCTCTAATGGCAGAAAACAAAGAGGAACTAAAGAGCCTCTTGATGAGGGTGAAAAGGAGAATGAAAAACTGGCTTAAAACTCAACATTCAAAAAACAAAGATCATGGCATCTGGTCCCATCCCTTCATGGCAAGTAGAGAAAAAGAGAAAACAGTGGCAGATTATTTTCTTGGGCTCTAAAATCACTGCAGACAGTGACTGCAGCCACATAATTAAAAGACACTTGCTCCTTGGAAGAAAAGCTATGACAAACCTAGACGGTGTATTCAAAAGCAGAAATATCACTTTGCCTACAAAGTCAAAGCTATGGTTTTTCCAGTGGTCATGTACAGATATGAGAGTTGGACCATGAAGAAGCTTGAGCACTGAAGAATTGGTGCTTTCGAATTGTAGTGCTGGAGAAGACTCTCGAGAGTCCCTTGGACTACAAGGAAATCAAGCCAGTCAATTCTAAAAGAAATCACCCCTGAATATTCATTGAAAGGACTGTTGCTGAAACTGAAGCTCCAATACCTTGGCCACCTGATGTGAAGAGCCGACTCAGTGGAAAAGACCCTGATGCTGGGAAAGATTGAGGGCAAGAGGAGAAGGGGACGACAGAGGATGAGATGGTTGGATGGCATCACTGACACAATGGACATGAGTTTGAGCAAGCTCCAGGAGATAGAGAAGGACAGGGAAGCCTGGCATGCTACAGTTCATGGGGTCGAAGAGTCTGACATGACTTAGCGACTAAACAACCACAACAACATCTCCCATAATACAATCAGAAACAAATAGCTTAATAGTCAGATTCAAAAGAGATGAAACCCTAATGTCCCATACACATACAAAACGCTGCTTAATTTCACTAATATTCAAAAGTAATTAAAACTGAAACAATAAGATGCAATTATTCCACATCAGAGCATATCACCAGATTAGCTGAAATTTTAGAATCAGGCAATTTCAAGAGGCGCTTGAGGTTGAGAGGAAATAGAAACATTCATTAATTGAAATAACCACTTTTAGAAAAAAATCGGCAAAAATCAAATGAAGTTCAAAGTTCACATACCCAGTGGCTCATGAACCCCACTTCTGGGCCTGTACTGCAGAGAAAGTGATCATGCGTGCTCAAGAACATGTGCTCACGAATGCTTGTGGCTGCAATATGAAGTCCACCAATAGGAGAATGGGCAAATCATTGTGGTGAAGTCATGCAGTAGGATGCAACCACATCATTAAAATAAATAAGTGAACTATACATATACACTTTAACAGGGATAAACCTAAAAAACAATGTTGAGTAAGAAAAAAACAAAGTGTCAGGTATGTGTTGCGTGACCCTGCTTCTGTTAAATGTGGATCACACACAACAATCCTTCATGGAACATACACAGGAGGGAAAAGTATAAAACCTGATGAGGAAGCATACATCCCACTTCAGGGAACAGCCTGGGGGAGATGTATAAAAAGGGTCTCCAATTCTACCTGTAACCGTTTTCCTTAAGAAAGGAAAGAGGGAAGGAGGAGAGGGAGGTGGATGATGAAAACCATGGTATTTCTCTATTTTCCCATGTGTCTTGTTTCTTTCTGTTTCAGTTCTTTTGTAACAAAAATAAGAAAAAGAAAGAAGAGATGAGGGAGAGAGGAAGGAAAAGACTGAATGGAAATTCACCAAAATGTTTAGAGCAACTATCTCTTTAGACCATTGTTGGGGGGGGGGTTAATTTTTTCTTTACACTTTTAAGTATTTTCTAAATTATCCCCAGGAAGCATGTATGACTTTTATAATCTGAACAAAACAATACATGATCTTTTAAAAGCAACTTGCTAAGCTGTTGTGATTTAAAAACCTGGATTGTGGAAGAGACACTGGTATTTTGGACATCCAGGCCGGCTCCCATAGTGCCTTGTCCAAGACAAGTTTCTGGGGGAGCTGATAAGGGCACAAATGAATTAAATTCCACTATCAGTACCACCCTCTGAGCCTCAGGGGGTGAGGGTTCCAGAAGTCTCGATCCCTCTGCCAGCCTCCCGGGGGCCAGGGACTGCAAGAAGAGATAAAAGCCAGCTTTGTTGTTCTCTCCGAAAATCATTCATGAAAATTGAGGTCGCCATCCCCACAGCCAGCTTATCACAGGGCAAGTCCCCTTGATGACCTTGAAAACATGTCTGTGACCCCCTGGCTCCCAGCACATGGGCACGATCCTATGGTCCTACGTGCCCTATGTGGGCACCGTGCTCAGCAATTTAGTTTTCCCCCAGTGGCTTCCACATTTATTTCTCAGGACAACTCTGGGAAGTCTTGTCTCCATTTCACAGTAGAAAAATTGGGACTCAGAGAAGTTAATTAACTGGGACAGGGCCACCCAGCTAGTAAATGGGGCAGAGTCAATATTCCAGGAGGCCACATAGAATTCTAACGGTAGAATATTAGGCACCAGTAACAAGCAAAGAAAAGAAATAATTCTTGGATCAGGACGGAACATTCCCACACCCAGAGAGCAGCCCCAAGTGTAGCCGCTGGGGGTAGACTCTGGGCACTCCCATCTAGACACCAGCTCTCAGGTTCTAAGACGGGGTGGGAGGGGCAGGCTTCTCAGTGAGTAAGAGCCCCCCACTGCTCTAACCACCTAAGGTTAACCGCCAGGCACGAACGTCAACATATGAGACCTTGGAAAGGGCCAAATGAGTGGGAATGAGGAAAACCCCAGCGTGTTCTCCCAGCAGTCTTTCTGATTGCTCTTTACTCTATTTTCTGGAAAGGACCTGTTGTAGTCAAGCTCCAAACTAATTTCATTTTTTTACCGCGATCAGGAAAAACAGACAGTGCTTAGAGGCCTGCAGGGGCCCTTGTGAGATCCAGGCAGAAGACAACCCGGGAGGCGGCTGCTCCTCAAAATGGGCAGTGGCTCCGGGAAGCCCTATAGGTTTCTGTACACCAGCCCCACCGAGCTCCCAGCGGGGCAGGAGGGGGCTGAAGCCTCTGGCCCTCCTGACTCCCTCCCCAGGACCTCCAGGCCGCCAACTCCAAGACTTAGCCTAGCATCCAAGCTGGGTAACTTGATCTTCCCTCCCCGGGGGGCAAGCGCCCTCTGTGTACCAAGCTGTCCTGCGGCTGAGATGTGCCCCAAAGCAGGTTTCACCCACCACACGGGAGATTATCTCAGAGCAGCAGGGGCACTCACTCACCAAATGGGCCTGGGAGCCTCGGGGGATGGCACACAGGCCTGAGGTTGCTTAGCTGCTCTGGGCTCCACTGTTCCCAGAGAGCCTGCTTTACCCCTAGACCTGAGGCATCATCTTGACCCAAATCCAGGCTGCTTCCCCCTCCCCTCCTCACGCAGTCCCAGGGGTATCAGGCAGGGACAAACTGGGGGATTCCAAGTGGGAGTCCCCAGGGTAAGGGGGCAGCATCCTGAACAGCACCTGCTCCTCTAAAACAACGACCCCACTCAGGGTGCAAGTGGAGTCGAAGCCACACCCCAGACCCCAGTGGTGGAATTCAGGCACTAGCTTTGGGCTAAGGAGAGAAACCGTTGGAGGTAGGGTGACTGAGTTTTAACACATGAGAATGAACGCCCCACCATCCCAGAACTTCCAATTTTTCAAGAAAAACTGGAACTCTCAATTTTTACATGACAGTACTCAAATTTGTAAGAGTGGCAACTAATTTTAAAAGCTCTGCATCTCTCTGGACCAACAGGTATATTACAGGTTGGATTTGGCCTTGGGACTACCATCAGGTTTGTGGGCTGCTAGGGGCAGGTCCAAGTAATGTACAGCCATCACCCCAATAATGATGACAGAAGGCAACTCTCACTTATTGTTGGTCAGCTTATGCTAAATCAGTCCATTAGGTAGGGTCACTGGAATTTTGACGCCTTGCACCCAGCCCATTGCGGGTGTCAGTGACGCTGGGGTGGGCAGGTCCACACGGGCAGATACCCGGCCTGCCCAGCCCTCTTGCCAGAAGCCTGTCTTCTAGGGATGGAAGGAGGAAGCCTTCCAATGCGAAAGCTGAGTCAAGGCTAGGGGGCCAACCATCCAGAAGTGGGGTCCCCTGGAGACAAACCCAAGCCAAAAGGGTATAGGAGTCCGTGGATCAATGCCTCAACCTGTCGCCTTTGGAGTGACAATTCTGAGGGCATCCTGCATGCTAACTTGCAAGGTCCCCAGCAGGAGGGACCCCACTGCCCACTGCTGCAGGCACCTCAGCAGCATATGGCTCACTCCCCTCTCCTCTCCCTTCATCTCGCCCCCTCCCCACACCCTCATCCCAAATACACTGTCTGTACCCAAGTTCTTCAGGCAGTCTCTGCTTTCAGAGGAATTCAAATTAAGGCAGACGACTCGTAGATAAGGACACTGAGGCTCAGAGAGGTTAATAACTTGCCCAGGGCCACTCAGCTGAGAAAGGACAGAACTGAGACTGAATAAGGATGGGCTGGCTCTCAAGTCCTGCCCTTAACCACTGCCCACTCCTTCCTGAGGGAAAGCCAGCCAGTCCCTTTGACCTCTCTCCCTCTGTGTCCGTGGACAGCTCTCTCTTTGTGAATCTGAACCCTTGGTACACCCAGGGAAAAGTGCCAAGAATGTAGAACACCCACCAAAAAGCAAAAGAGTCTACCCTGGAACTGGGCAGAACGGGTCCACTGCATAACCCCGGTTAGAGTACGGTGGGAGACCCCACCCCTGCGGGCTCAGATACCCTGGGACGTTAGCTGCCTGCTCCCCTTTGGGAAGGACCCACAGCACCCTCCGAGGACCAGCAAGACCCATTTGAGCCTGAAGTGTCAGAGCTGAAAGACACCTGGAGGACTTAGAAGCCCCTTTACTCTCCAGAAGGGAAGGCTGAAGCCCAGACAGGGGACCCCGCTCCCCAGGACCAGCTCCTTGATGAACAGAAGGCTCGGAAAGAAGAATTAGCTCCAAAGCTTTGACTTAGAACACACACACATTTTCCACTCCAGGAAGGGCAGGCCTCCCATCTCCAGCTTCCTGCTCTCCCAAGTGGAAAGGAGGCAGCCAGGCCAGCCACACTGACCTCCTCGGGAGCATGCCAGGGAAGCCAAAGTTGGAGAGACAGGGTCCTGCGCACAAGGACGACAGGGAGGGCAGGAGGCTTGCCTCCTGCAGCAGGACCCTGGCGAGGAGCCCCGTGCTGGCTGCAGGACTGGCCCTGGCAACTTCTGTGGGGGCCTGGCCCACAGGATCCTCTGTTGCACCTGTCTCCCACGTACCCAGGAACAGCCACACCACCAGCTAACCCCCAATGTGGGCCTTTCCTGCACCATTGACAGCCTGACAACTCAGCTGCTGACGTCCCTGCTTTAGAGCTGAGGATCACAGGTACAGAGAAGTTAAGAAACACCCCAGGTCACACAGCCCAACAGCAGCTCAGCGGGCTCTCTGATTCCAAAGGCCACGTGGGCTCCCTTTATTTTTAGAAAAGATGGTCATAAAATAAGCCACAAGTCCAGCTGTGTTTTCCCAGGGTTCCTGGTTATAAACCTGTTGTCCGCCAGGGCCACCCCATAAAGCGGGACCTGGAACCCAGGCTCCTGACACTAGACGCTTCACCCCTCCCTCCTGTGTGCCCTGTCATCATTTGATTATCCATTCCACAAATGCTTGCAGAGCACCTGGGCCAGAGCCCATCCGGGGCTCGCTGGTTCTCGCGGGGGCTCTGGACCACTTGCTCATTGGGGTCTCAGTGCCCAGAAAAGTAGGCATGGTGCCTCTGGTCTGCTTCTGTCTCATCAGACAGGTCTCCCCACACAGCTCCAGCTCAGAACCAGCCCAGAAAGTTCCCTCATCCGCCTCCAGTTTGCAGAGACCAAGCCAAGGAGACATCAGCTCCTCCATGTACACAGGAGAAACGCTGATTTATTTCCCAAGTGGGGAGCACCGTGGAGGTGCCGCAGGGGCTCTCAGGAGGAACGATTTCACGTCAGGGTGTTTCATTGGCTGGGCTGCGGTGCACAGATTTACTGTTCCAGGAAGAACGGGAACAAAGACTGCGATAAACTATGGGCCGTAGGTGACCGGAAGAGGTAGAGAGAGCTTGGCATCCAGAGAGATTTGTGGAAATCTCTAGGAAATAGAAAAAAAAAAAAAAAAGCCCTAGTTTAAAATATACTAAATAATTCCCACCAGCCTATTCCCTTCCCATCAACTCGCAGGAACACTCGTCCACCTCCTCCCAGAATCCAGACAAAGACGAGCCCAGACAGCCGGCCCTCTCGGTGGCCCCTCAGAGTTCCCGGCTGCTCCACAGCCTGGGGAAGCAACACTGATGATGATTTCACCCGAGAGCCTTTCTGTGCACCCCGCACATGCCTCCCAAACACTAGTGTTCATTGCCCACAGGGGTGCTCTGAAGAAGGCATCTCTATCCCCCTCATTCCCGGGTGAGGAAACTGAGGTTGTGAGAAGTTAAGGAATTGAGTTGAGGTCACAGAACCAGGCTCATCTGACTGCAAACTGATCCTCTGAAGGGCCAGGCCAGGCTGCTCCAGCAGTGACCCAAGTGGCCCAAGATGAGGGCCTTTCCCTCTGAGACTACTTGGGAGTCCCCCGGGCTTAGGATGGATGCCTGAGCGAGGGGTGCAGACCGCCAGCAGGCCCCTCCTCCACCCTCAGAGCCTCTCAAGGTCACGCCTACCCCTTCCCCAAGTACATGCTGCTGCTGCTGCTGCTGCTAAGTCGCTTCAGACATGTCCGACTCTGTGCGACCCCACAGACGGCAGCCCACCAGGCTCCTCTGTCCACGGAATTCTCCAGGCAAGAATACTGGAGTGGGAGAGTGCAAGCCAAGCTACCACTGCACCTAATCCTGAGGAAGGAAGACAGTCTGTCCATCCCTGTTTTTCAGATGACACAGGGGAGACCCAGGACCTCCCAGCAGAGGGGAAACTGTGCCAGGCCTCTGGGTGCAGGTAGTGGAGTGGAGGTGTGGGGGAGCCCGCTGAGGCCTGGCCTGCTGGGAAGCAGGTGAGCGCCCAGCACACAGACAGAGGCGGGGCTGCCCAGGGGGAGCCTGGCAGGTGGGGGCCCCAGGCGCCCCCAGCCCATCCTCTGGCCTCACCTCCCCACGCTGTAGCCTGACCAGCCAGTCAGCTGTGCTCCGTACCTTCCTGGGGGCCGTCAACTGACTCCAATCAACCTGGAGCTGCCAGCTCCAGCCTAGACGCCCCAGAGGAGGTGGGGCAGTGGGGAGAACTCTTCTGGACCCAGCATCCACGGAGCAGTTCTCCCATGCCCGCCCTGTGACCTGGGTACTCAGGGAGCAGAGTGGGGCTCGGAGAACCAGGGTGAACAGCCTGAGCCCATGGGCCTGGGCCCTGGGAACCTGGGCTCCCATCCCTCCTGGACTGCCAGCCGGCGGCACCCCTGTCCACTGTCACATTCTCCCCATCAGGGCAGGCGTTGCCAGATAGGAGGGCCTGCCTGGCTCCCATCTGCACGGTGGGGTTTCCAGGCACAGCCTGGAAAACCTGGCCCAACGAGGCTGAGCAGGACCCTCTAAATCAGAGGCCAATGGAAAGCATCCTGTCTGGTGGAATTTGAGAGTCCTCCCAAAAACAGCCCCCGCAAGCACTTAGATATTCCTGAAAGACACCATCTACGAATCAATTCTTTGAGCCACCAAGCCCCCTCACACTGGAGGCTTCCGGTGGTCCTCTCATCCACAAGACGGGAGAAGCAGCCCCCAGGGATGGGTGGAGAGAGAAGGAACATGGCCTGCGCCCGCCCTCCTCTCTGATCCTCCTGCAGCCCTGGCACATCTGTGCTCATATTTTCACTCCACAGATGGCCACGATGGAGAGGCAGCTAGAGCCAGGATGCACACCTGGGTCATCTGACTCCTGAACTCTTTTCCCACAAAGAACTGGAGGGAGGAAAGGATGAACAACAGAGCAAAACTGGAAATGAATAATAAACATTTAATTCTTAAAACCTAATCCTTTGGAGCTTTTAATTTTTTTTAATTTAAGATCTGGGATTAAATAATTTCTGCATGCTACTTGGAAAAGGACAACAAAGAGCTGTTCACATCACCATGTCCCAAGCAATGGGATCCAGCCTAAAGTAGACTCAGAGGAAAATCAATAACCTTGGTTAGTGTCATTACTGAACAAGAACAAAAGTAAATGAACTGAGTATTCAAGTCTATACAGAGCAAAAAGAAAAAAAATAGATAAAAATGTAGCATAAGAAAGTCAAAGAAAGCAAGAAGCTTCAATAAGCAGGCTTCTGTCCTAATCTGAGAAGAGGAGCATTCAGGCTCCCGCTTCATGTAAATGTGGGCTATTTGCATAAAACACAACAATATGGGTGCTCAAGAGTATTTTTTAGACAACTTTACTGATAGAATCTGTTGAAATACACATTGTCGGATACTTCCTTCAATTAAAACATTAAATGGATGCTGCCCTTCAATTCGAGGAGCAGACCAGACCTTGTGAGTGAAGGTTACCGACCCACATCCAGGGCAGCCCAGGTCCAGCACTTTCTCTTCCTTACACTCTCTTTCCCCACATTTTAACTCCAGCTATCAGATTCAAAGACTAAAACGCCCTACATGTATGGTTCTTTAATACAGATTAATCGAAAAGCGGAATTGGTGATGATGAAAACGTTCAGATGAATTCATGCTAGCAATTAATAATGACTAATTATTGAAGTTTCTTTTTTTTTTTTACAAAAAACGTCTAGAAAAGACTCTGAAAGCAGAAATTCTGAATGAGGTTCTATAGGAAGTCGCAGAGAAAACAGGTTGCTGCATGCATGAGTTTGAGGAAGGATCTCACCAAGTTAATGCTGCCTCCCCCAAGGACAGCCCCACCCCCAGCACTAGCCATGTCCCCAGGAAAGCAGAGCAAGCCTGTGTCCCTTCAGTCACATAACTGAAGTCTCCTCTTGGGCTTCAGTGTTTGTGATACTGACTCTTCTTCCTGCAGCTTATAAACTGCCAAGGGGAGAGCCCAGAAATTGGGGTTCATAGGCCCCTCCAGAAAGCCTACTGTTATGTTAAGCCTAAAGTAAGTACACATCAGAGATTAAATTCTATAAAACTTTACCACAACTGGAAAGATTCCACTCATAGCATAAGCAAGGCCAAAAAAAAAAAAAAAAACACCAGGAGGTGATGAGGAAGAGGAGAAGGAAGAGGGACAGAGGGAAGAAAGAAGGGAGGGAAGGAGAGGAACAGCTTAGCTCAATATAGACAAAGGGCCACCAGCATTTACCTTGGACACCTCTGCCAATTAAATCTCAGGATCACTCAGCGTTCCCCTCTAGACCTTCCCGGGTCATTCTCATCTCATGAGATCTGGCCTGGGTCCATAGTAATGATTATCTCTGATACATATATTTCTATATTTGATTATAATTAATTTAATAACTATTAATGTTAAAATATGAATAGCTATCTTATTTTTAACAGCTTTATTGAGGTGTAATTTACGTACCATGAAATTCACAGAGACTACTTGTAAAGAATGCATAATGTGTAATTAGGAGCTGAGCAAAGCTATTATGCATAACGAACTCAATGAAGTTGTTCAGGGACCTGCAATTCAGACACGCATGCATCCCTGAGGAGCGGCTTCTATACACCAGACACTTTGGTGACCTTCCTGAGAAAGAGCGAGGGCATGTGGATTCCAAGAGGCAGATGCATGTGTCCAGGAATTCCAGACATTCTAGCAGGCTGAAGAGCCCCATTTCACTGCTCAAATTATTTCAGTGAAAGCTGTTGAAAGGGATTGTGGGCTATAATTAGAATAATACCCTGCAGGATTACATTCACAAATGTAATTGCACAATCATTTAGAGGTAAATGGCACCAAGAGAGGGCAGAGTTTCACTGGCATGCAGGGAGAGGAGGTGCAAGCGCCTCTCGTGAGGCAGCCCCTTTCTGACGCCAGCTGAGCCAAGAGACAGTGCAAAACGAATCCGAAGATCTTTCACTCCTCAACCAGCTTGTTTTGGGCCTCAGGCCACCAGAGACTCCTCAGTGATGGTGCTTCCAAAAGCAAGTTCATGTGCCGGATGCTCAGTGAGGCCAGGCAAACCAAAATGATGCAGTTTGGAGCAGAGAAAGGTTTTATTGCAGGGTCGAGCGAGAACAGGTGGCTCATGCTCAAAAGAGCCCCGACCCCCCCACCGAAGGGTGTTAGCAGAGCATTTTTAAAGACCCAGTGAAAGGGAGGTGTTCTACAAAACGAGATCCAGTCATGCACAATTCTCTGATTGGTTGATGGTGAGGTAATAGGGTGGGGAACATGATCAATCCCTAGCCGCCCATAGGTCTAGAGGCTATGTGCCATGATCATCAAGCAGTTAATTTCTTCCATTTGATGGTGGTTTTCAGCATCTGAAAAACTCAGGAAATATACATGAGATACAATTATCTGGGTACTTCAGAGGAGCTACAACAGAAAATAAGAGGAAGCGTCTGACTCAGGAAGAACCCACAGGCTCCTGCTCAGTTACCATGAGGAAACGTTTAAATACGACCCAGGCTGGACTTTTCAACCAGTTTCCATTAAACATGCCTTGAAAGAGACAATGGGCTAAGGATTCATCAGCTGCTTCTCATTTGGCTCACAAAAACCCCATCTGTGGCATAGATGTGGTTGCAAGCACAGTGCACCTGGCTACATTGAAAAGGTGTACAGAATCTGCTGCCTCACTCTCCTGAAGCCTGGGGAATGTGAGCCTTTCGGAGATTCTCAAACATCATCTAGCTGAAGATTCCGAATTGTTCCTATTTCATAACCGAGACCAACAGGGCGACCGCACACCTGGGCTTCCAGAGAAGTCTTGACCTCATAGCGCTTCATTCTATCTGCCAGGCTTTATTCCTATCCATTCAGTGTGCTGTGATTTCTGTAACTTTGTAAGGTACTCCACATGTTTAAATGCGCAACTAAGAAAAGTATCCTTTTTAGTCCAAGTGTCCTAAATTTTGTCCCAGAAAAAAAAAAGTAGCTATATAAGTAGACTGCAACTTTGAAAGCCATGACAATAAATCGCATTAATTTGGACCCATTAATCTGGAGTACGTGCTAATCCCGTAGGCCTAGGAGGAAGCTTAGCTTTGAAGAAAGAGTTTGCTTTCTAAGCAAAGAAGGATGCAAACAAGCCACAGAAAGCTAGCCTACTTAGAAGCAGATGTTGTTCTTAAAGAAACAGGTGCACATTAAGCTGTGCCTGTTTGTGGGTCCTAATCTCCCAGCTCACTCTTCACTGTAGACGTTAACCAACTCTCCTACTGCAGAGTTTGAAA